AAGAAAGTAAGAAGAAATATATATATATATATATATATATATAAACAACACGATGTAAATAGATAAAATTACATATAAAAAGAAATTTCTTAATAATAAATTAAAACTCAATCAATTAATTAAAAATTAAATTATTTAAATAATAATAACTTACTAATAACTTAATATGTAGAAACTAATGTTACATATTTATAAATCTTGTTATTAAATGATTGCAATAAAGAGAAAAATACATCATTAGCAGCATGTTACAAAGTTTTATTTCTATAGTATATTTACATATCTATATATCAAGAAACGCTAATATCTCATTTATAAACATATATACATATATATTTACTTGATGTTCGCGTGATGCTTCAAGAATACTTCAGCTTGATGAATTCCTGTCTCATAAGCTCCATGCGTCGTCGAATAGAACTCGTCATGTGTGGCTTCACCAGCGAACAATATAATTGGTAAATTCTGCCATATTTAAAAATTTTTATAAATTAGCAAATCTGAAATTGTTTTCTTCTAATGCTGTAATTTTGCTTTATCTTAACATAATATTTAAAAAATCCATAATACAAAATCTCAATATTTTTTGAGACAAAAAAATTTCCAATTTAAAATTGAAAGAAATGCTAAACTTTGAAAATATCTTACGGTAATCTTCTCACCTGCTTTCTCTTCGCGTCATTCTGCGATATTGTCGTCCAGACTGGTTGGGCTAACGTTTTAGGCGAGACATTATCCTTCTCGCAGCTTTTTGTGATGTGACTATAACCACCTCTTACATATTTATTCCCATTCCATTTGGTTCGAACGCATTTCTTCACTGGCGGAATATCGCGATATTGCAAATAACGCGTTAAGAGATTCACACAATCTTGCGCGATTGTCTGTTCCGATAAATTTTCAATGATACGTGCTCCTTGCCCGCCGACCCACACTATGAGAGTGGCCGGATGAGTCGGCAGAACGTCGAATCCCGTGAGGTCTCTGGTCCATTCCGGTAAGGATTGGCGATCGGCGTCTCTGCGCCAAAGCAATTGGAAACCATTCACGTCACTTTGCCACCAGGGCTCGCCAAAGTCCAGAAAAATTTTATTAATCGTTCCAAAACCAAGATCCTCGATAGCGACGCTCAGATAGTTCGGTAACAATGGTTGGAACATCTTTCGATGATTTTCCTTCAAATAGCCGAGCGAACAAGTGACTATGACCGCATCAGTTAGGATTCGCGTTCCCTCGGAAGTTGTCACGATGATCGGAGAATCCTTTTCAGAATCGACAGAATCCCGCCAGTAAATAGTCTCCACGGGCATAGCTAAACGCACTTTTTGCTCGTTCAGATTGCCAACGAGAAGATTTGTCAAGGAACTATAACCGGATTTGAAGAGCAAATGTTCCGGTCCACCAACATACTGTAGAAATTAATATTGTCGTTACGTAGTGCGTCATTATTAAATTTATTATTAAAACTCTATATATATAAAAATTAAATTTACCTTAAATTTTCCCCACAGGACCGCCGATAAATCATCCAAAGAGTGGCAACAATTGTCTACTAGAAGAAACCGCACGTTCCAATCGAAAATTTCCTCCTTCATCCTCCTCTCCATTAAAGAATCGCCTCCCTCACGTAAATAATTCTCAAAACTATTTCTCATGACAGAACCGATACTCTCTTGCTCCTTTAAAGACCTCCGAGACTCACAAACATCATCCGAAACAGTTCGCACGAGATCGTCGACTTCGCGAACCAAGTTTTCGCTCATTATCGTTCCATCGTCGCGCAAGAAAATTCCCTCACCGTCCGTGCCTTGAATATTCGACAATAAATCATTGTTGAAACAATATTGCGCTAACCTGCTCTTATCACCATGCAAGAATTGTGCCCCGCAATCTATCCAGCCATCGTTCCATGGGATGGAATGAATTCTTCCTCCAATTATGTCTTGAGCTATAAAAAAAATAATGACAAGTAATCCAAAAAAATTTGTTTTATCTTAAACCATTCAGATTTATCTCTCTATTTTTTTGTATAAGTTTTTATATTATTTATTTACACGATTGCCTCAAAGATTAAGATTTTTCTTTTAATATTAAATATTGAATTAAATGTTGAATTTTTAAGAGACACATGTCTAAACGTACCTTCGAGAAGAAGATAATCCGTGAATCCCGCATCTTCTAATGTTTTCGCCGCCGCTAATCCTGCAATTCCTGCACCTATTATCACAACTTTTGTCCTTTCTGTTCCTCTCGCACTCGCGTCAATCTCTATCCGCAATGTTTCGTCGAAGTTGTTAATCAGTCGATCTAAGCGATTCCACGTTCTACGTCATCCGAAGTAATTAGTCTACTGAATTTCAAATAAAGATACGTATACATAAGATATGTATACATACCGTTTTCTATATTTTTATCAAATTTATTCTAATTCACAGTAAATATATTCTACTAAAAATTCTATTTAATCAATACACACAAACTACGCTACTTATTTGAAGATATTCTCAATGCAATGATAATATAAAGTAAATAAAAAGTAAATAATAAATATAAATAATAATGAACGCAATCAATACACATTAATCAATACACAATAATAAATATAAATATTATCCCTCTTGCGGATAACGATAAAATATATATTTCATATCAATTATACATATTTTCTCTATTTTACATCAATTTACAAAATTAAAATTTATACTATCACATTTATATACAATGTATTTTTATACAAATATTTACACCTTACTAATAAGTATGGTGATTGGCCGTGATTAAAAATCCTTAAATATATTCGTCGATTGCAAATATTGTAAATTGGAAACATATTTCAAGTTTTCTGTAATCCGTTCATTATGAAGATAGTTGTAGGAGATGTAATTAGAGATGTGAGTTTAATTGCCTAAGAAGAAGCATGTTAGAAGCAATTAATATAACTATAAATGCAAAAACATGAGTGCAAAATTTGAAGCTAATATATTTAAAAATAATAGTAAAATAGCAATAAACAGAAAAGCTTTTACTTCTAAGCTTTCGCTAAGTTAAAAAAGAAAAAAGTTTTATGAAACATATGACCCAAAAATAAATAAACTTGACGTGATAACATAATACAATACAATTTGGATCATGCGAGAATAGTAACTATAAGCGGAAATAATTATTAATGCATGATACATTATGCATTACATATAATACATAGAAGTAAAGATGCATTGTTTCAATTATAAATTATTTTAAATTAAAACTTTATTTAACAGGTTACTCCCCTTTTTCATTCAAATTTATAAAACTGGAAAAAATTTAGAATTAATGAAAAATATACTATTATAATTTTAATAAAAAAAATTTATGAAGTTTATTAAAAAATAAATTTTTTAATCATTTTTTTAAAGCATATATTATTGCGTTAAATAATCAAAAAATTATCAAGCATTATTAGTATATTTATCATATTATTATACTCTTGATCCCAAGCTTTAAATAACACTTCAATTAATATTATTTACCTTTCAAAGGCGATTAGTCTATCCGCTTCACGGAAACCTGTTTCCACAGCGCCATGCACAGTGGAATAATAATGATCATGCGTAGCTTCTCCAGCGAAAAGAATTATCTAATCATGATGTATTTTGTCAATGTCAATAATTTCTTTTTTACAATTTAATAACGATTTACTAACGATTATATAAAACAGAAATACGTGATAAACAAAAACTATTCCTAGTCCTATCAATAAAATAAATAATATAAGACGACGAGGAACTTAACTATAATATTTTGGACATTAATTTAATCAGTGAAAACATTAAGTTACTTAAGTTAATATTACGTACAGGTTTATTTCCATTCATGATCGGCTCGGCCAAATCTTTTGGTTCTACATCCATTTGCTCGGATACCATGCTTTGAAAACTATACGAGCCTCGAAAATGCTCATTAGTGTACCACTTGGATCTAAAAGTTTAAAAAAATAGTTACGACTTAATTATCATTTTTTTTCAATTGCAATCACTTTTGACAGAAAATTACCTTAATATTCTTTTTGGCTTTACAACATTATAATATTTTCCGAATGATTTTGTTAACAATAGATACAATCCGTCGAATACATCAATGTCCGACAAGGTTTCCATGTATCTCGCATTTTTTCCTGCCATCCAAGCGCATAAAACATTCGGTTGATAAGCTACATCAAAAATCGAGAATACATCGCAGAGCCACTCGCTATTCTGAAACAAATATTGGAAGATTATAAAGAGCAATATAAACAAAAAATCAATCAAATTTATTTTTAATTGCAAAGTATTATTCATTATAATCTGTAAATCACTATAATCTGTAAATCACATTCAAATATCTATTTACTTGACCATAGTTTTGCAAGAATTCCTCCTTATCTGTTTCTGACCAGATAAAATTAAAACTGGCTTTATCCGGCCACCATCTGTGCGGAAATTCGAGGAAAATCTTATTCGCTGTTCCGAGATTTAATCCCTATGAAATTATATTTAAATTACTTAACATCTGTCGTATAATCTGTCGTATATCATTTTATTTAGAGTATATTGTTAATAAAACCTCTATCGCACGTTGTTTCTTTTGTGACAAAGATGGTATAAACATCGTAGAATGTTTCTCTTTTAGAACACCTAGAGATCCAGTGAATATAACATGCAATGCAGAATATTCGCATCCATCTCTAGTGATCACTGTAACATTTTTGTCTGAGCTATAATTTATAGTTGATACGACTTTTCCAAATTCTATTCTTTCCATCACTGGCAAGCATTCCTCTGCATTTGGAATTTTTTGCTAATAAAATAATCAATATATCTGATTAAAAAAACTTGCTAAAATAATTGTTGAAATATATATCAATAATGCATTTGTTTAATATATATATATAAAAATATATCAATAATAGGTTAAAGATGCATCAAAAATTAAATAACATAAATTAATAAATTTTAAATAATATAAAATTTCAATTGCCAATTATTATAAATTTCTTTGATCTTCAGATATTATTCGTAATATTTTCATAATCTTTTTTTCTCCTTAATTTTATGAATTAAGCAATTAATTTTAGTCTTATTCTTATAAATATATATTTTTTAAATTGATCATTGTTTCGTTTTAACAGAATATTTTCTAAATTTTATTAAAAGTTGAAGTGTTTTGTAAAATAAAATGTTGATATAAATGACTCATTTTTGCACAATATGACATTCAATATTGTCAAATGATTTTTTACCAATAATAAATCAAAAATTGTTTTATAACCACGATCCTTCCAATTTAATGTAAGATCGCCTTCGCACTCCCAATATCCTGCCAAACGTTTTGCGGAAACGTCAAACCACGTATCGCTGCATTGTATAGAATTTTCCATCTTTTCTATCCAAGATAAATATTCAGGAACTCGAGCACGACTCATAAAAGGTTTCTCATCAAAAATTTTGTAATATCTGTAACATTAATATGATGATTAAATTTATTATTATAAAAAATCTCTTATTTTAATATTACCTTTACTATTTAATTTATACTCATTACATATTTCACTCCAGATACTAAATAAATATGAAATAATTGTAAAATTTTTATCTATTTCTCTTTAACAATTATTAAAACGATATTTTGTAAACATGACTTTGTTAAGTAGTACATTAATTTAATTCATTTACATTTCGTTTCTGCATTATGTTTATAATTATATATTTAATAAGTCAAATTAATTAAAATTAAATTTAATTAATATAATTAATTTAATTAATTTAATATTAATTTAATTTAATTTAATATTAATTTAATAATTAAATAAATTTTGAAAAAAAAAACAAAAATTTTAGATATTTTGTATTTTCTTCTGATTCAAACTGTAGGCGGATAGGCAGCAAGGATGAATCATCATTAATCTTGTAAACTGTGGTGGGGGAAAGCACTGACTGATACTACATCAGCCAGTATGTGGTAATCATTCTATCATATGCAGAGAATATAGCCTCCAATAATAATATTTGGGTTCTAATAGGCTGATATTTTTTATATGGATTTTTAGATATCTCAATCATGGAAAAATATTGCATTTATATAGTCTCTGCAAATAATTGTAGAATGATCTACAATAGTAATATCATTAAATCCAACTGATTACTCACGACAAACTTTTACTGTCAATGAAACTTAGAAACTTTATAAAATGTTTGCAAAAAGGTAACGATGTCTCTCAGTTTTAGTTTACTATTAGAGCAATAATTAATTTTGTTATCAACATACATCATGTACAATAGAAAATTAATTCCTTACAAACTTAGATGGTGTTGATATTATATAAGTATGAAATATTTATACATTTTCCTCAAACTGAGTCAGTTTTTTGAGGAAAATGTGTAAATGTTCAATTCTTACAAAGTCTTCAATTCTTCAATGAGATATACAATTCTATTAGGAAAATAGATCCAGTACTGGAAAAACTAAGGAATGAAGTGGATGGACCACCAAATTTAGATATGATTATCTTGAATATCCAGAAAGAATCATCACGTGTTCACGCTGCATACTTATTTGAGCATATTGGCAAAGCCACGTTACAAAGGTTATGCTTGTTGCTGAGCTCCACAGCAACAGGAAAGATCTATGATGGATGGCAGGAATTTGCAGCATACATGGGCCTAACGATGGAGCAGATACGTGTAAGTTTAAAAAATAGAGGAATATAATTATTGCAATATAATATAATATTATATGACAATATTGTATGATTGTTATATAATAACAATATTAATAATAATAATATTGTTATATCATTTTATTGTCTAGTGCATAGATTACGATTTCAAAGGGCTTCAGGATCCAACGTATTACGTCCTTTTGACTTATGTGCAGTGTCCTGATGCAACGATGGATAAAATTCTGAGTGCTTTGCAAAAAATGCAACGGCTCGATGTGATAAATCAAATTAAAGATTACGTGCATGATCTAATCAGTGTTGCGTCACAATGTGCTACATGCCATGATGGTAAAGAATAGTAACAATTATTTTTTTTCTAGCGTTACAGAATAAATCACAAGTTGAATTAATTTTGACAGATAGATTTTTAAAGAAATATTAATTGTATGTATATATTTATTTATATTAATTATTTACATTTAGGATCTGAAATAATTAAACCAGGACATATACCGAGAGCACCATTAGTCCTAAGTCCTATTTTGACAGGAGAATGCAGAAGTGGAATGAAAGAAAGTGAATCAATAAGCACATCACAAGGAGATAATCAACGAAAAAAGGTTATAATTCTCGTCTTATAATTCATATTTATAATTCATATTTATAATTCATATTTGTGAAAATTTACTAGATAATAAGATTTTAAATTAAGATTTTTATTAGAAAAAGTTTAAATTAAAATTTTCTAATTTCAACTAATCTATATTATATTTATATTTATATCTATATTTTGTCAGATTGAACAAACGTATGGCTGCATAGTTATGCTGACTTTCACTGATGATGGTTTAGCAACAGCCGAATACATCACAAAGATATTCAGATCCAAACAGCCGCGAATCGGTGTGCTTATATTGCAAGAGCAAGAGAAACATGTCTACAGCCAAGCTGAAGAATTCATAGATGATTGTTTTAACCAGGTAATTTAATTAATATAATAATTAATAATTAATTTCTTTTTTTCTTTAAGGCACGAGTCAAGTCTTGATTTCTTGGAGAAAAGCAATTCTATAAACCTTGATTTTCTTCTAATTTTGTTATAAATAAAATTTGATTGAAGATTATAAGATTAATTTTAGAGAGAGAGAGAGAGAGAGAGTAATTTTATTGTAAAACTTATGCATTATTATTATTTAAAGGCCTATTTTTGCCTTCCAAAAAATTAAGTTTGTGTTTTGGATATTTTGTTTTTATCACAATGGAATATTTTTTCTTTCAAAATTCCTTGTGTCATATGTTAGAGCGATAATTCTAGAAATCAAATTTTGATAGAAAATCTAGAATAGAGCTATCCAACATCCGAATAAATTGATTTATTTTTAATTAAATTAAGATTTTTGAATAATAAAAGTTGACTTTTTGACTACTGATTATATTAAGTGCTATTGACATTGAAGTATTGTAAATTAATTTATTTTTAGGTCGATTATGTTATACCGATACTAACAAGAGGATACGTCAAAAGAATAAATAATCCTGTGAAAATGTATGAAGAAACGAATAATAATTTGGACACAAAATATTTGAAATACATATATTCTTTGTTGAGATATGAATACATGAGAAATCAATGCTGCAACAATCGCGTGAGGTACGCATAATTGATAAGTTTTTTATAGCAAACTAATAGATAACAAGATAATAAATAACAAGCTTCTGACAGATAAATCTTTATGATAAGCATTTATGATAAAATATCACTTATATTTGTTCACGACTAATATAATATAGAAATATACAGAACACTATAGTGACTGTCTTTGCTAATTTTGCTCTACTTTTTATTATCAGATGTATCGTGCCTGATAAAGATGTTTGTACGATTGTGCAAACTCGCCTACATCCTACATTGCAAGCATGGTTTCGTGAGAGCAAAATTGATGATTTCGTAAACAATATTCTCTTTCACAAAATTTGATGTAGAAACTATAAATACTCGTACAAAAACATAACTTTTGTGAATAATTTTTAAGGATTTATATTTTTTCAGAGCTTTTTGAAGACTGTGGTATTAATAGTTTTCTTATAAAACAATATTCTCTTTCATAAAATATGCAAATTGTGTGAGTTTTGTATCTCAAACAAGTACAAAAATTTCATAAGTGACTATTAAGAATTTAAATTCTTATAAAAATTCTTTATATTGTACATTATTGACATTTTTCTTATGTTAACCAAATAAAAGGGTATTTATTTTTTAACTTACTTTCTAAATAATTTATACAATATATATTCTTAATCCTGAAATAAAAATGGAATTACTTACTCTCTTATAAAATAATCTCCATAAGATCCTTTTTCCTTGTTAAGTTCTGCTTGTTTTACTATATTGTGATAAATCATCAGAGCTTCGCTACTTTCCTTTTCGGGCATTATTTCACCATTAATGGTAATAAATTCATGTTTGCTGGGATCAAGTAAGCCTGCATTCGAATCCAGCAAATCGTGTTTGGAGGCAAGCTGAAATACTATGTTTCCAGTCTGTCCATGGACCCACTGAGCTCCGAGATCCACTACATTGTCACCTGGAAATATGCAGATACTCAAATTTAAAATTTTCCTAAGTGTTCAAAAGTTTAAAAGCACAGAATTGGAATTATTTTGATTTTTAAAAGTGATATGATTGCGAAAAAGCGAAATTACTGAATTACTGAAGGTAAAAAGCTAATTCTCACAGAAGAGAGATTTATTTACCGAAATTTGTAGTATATATTCTACCACCAATCCTATCGTTGGCTTCCAGTATTATAAAATCGTCCACATTTTTCTGCATCAGCCTCGAGGCAGCTGCAATGCCAGCTGCACCCGCGCCAACGATCACAATCTTAATTTTCTTTGGCATATCGCAAACTCTCAACAATTGTACTGCACCCAACAGTTTCACTGCACCGTTGATGATCGTTTTCGTATATTGTCAGAGATAAACGTGAATAATGACTTTAAGTGAACTCGAATTGGCTGAAGTAGATAACGCATCGGATTAGCTAAATCATTGACTGGAACGATCATAATACTACATCAATGTGAACAAAATACATTGGCAATTTACAACTTTCTTAAATGACTTTTAAGTAAGATTTGCAATTAATTCCGAATTTAATCTCTACAAATTATAAGAAATTTAAAAAGAAAAAAAAATCCGAATAAATTTTCCCTTCACATTCGCATTTGCTTTTGGCATTAATTTAATTCCGGCGATTATACCTCGAATAATATTATTATTATATATCAACTTGCAAACAGGTCTGATTGATTTGATTTTAATGCTGAATGTATCACCGTGAATTTTTATTCAACACTTTGCAATTGAACTTTGACGAATTCTCGAAGAAAGATGTTAATACACGTCGTGCATAACCGCAAATTGGTGTTCTTTGCAAAAAAAATGCGCTTTACTTCTTTAAAGCGAATGCAAATACTTTGACGAGCATTGGATGAGAGCAGAAAACACGAATCATTCAGAAAACAGATCTACTTAATATCATAATTCCCAACGATTGTTACAATTATTTCACTTTCCACGTGTTCACACTACTATACCGCGCACAGATAATAGCTGCACCAAACTTACATCAGCTGAAACCCAGCTGAGAGCTGAAACATCGATAGATCTGTCATGGCCTTATATACCAACGACTGCTATCTACTATTTTAGTTATGTCTAAGATTACAAATTATTAGATGGAAAAACATAATTTGATTTTTGCGAAAGAGAATAATTGACATTATTCTTTCTCGTGAAATTATTTCATTAAAATTTAGAATTTCATAGAAATCTATGTATAATTTATAGTGACGAAACAAAATTAAAGAATCAAAATATGCGCTATCAAAATTTATCTAAAAATATACATATATATATATATATATATATGTATAGATATAAATATATTAGAACATACATACATTAAAATATAATGATAGATATAAAAGTATAAATAATATTCTATTCTGAAATCTGATGCAGATTGTCCTAAAGTGGGCTCTGTAAACAAAATAAAGCTGAAAATTTATTCTAAATTTATTCAAAATTTCATTCCTTTAGACACAACCTATAAAATCTTACTAATTACAGTTCTTATAATTATTTATAAATTGACAAGTATTAGTTACAAAAAATTAATTTAGACCAAAAATATATTTTAACGAAGAAACTCAACTTGACTGTTGCTTTAAAACTTGCTTTAAAAATGTCTAAAATTTCTTTAAAAACTTCCAGCACGCAACCGTCGTTAAAGTAAACATTTTCTTTCAATGCCATTAGAAATTAAATACAATTCAAATACATTAAATACAATTACCAGATTATTTTTTAATTTTATATAATCTATTTGACATGTCAGTGCCAAACGAATAACTTTTATAATTTATTTATAACCTGTTAATCAGTATGAAAAATAATTATTTATCGTAATATTGTATTTATCGTCTATTATTAATTTTCGAGAAAATTGCCGAAGAAAGATTTGAAGCCATTTGGATTTTGCTGTTCCCTGGATCGTTTTAATTCTCTTTCTCGATATGATCAACGATTGCCGCCCTATGAGTCTTCGTTGACGGCAATAACTTCGATACACGAATGTCCGACAGTTAAAATGCGAATGAAATTTTCTACGTCGCGACTCTTGAGAGACAGGAAAAGATCGACTAAAACGAAAACGTCGGATGTGGAGGATGAGCAACAACGATTAGAAAATGATGTACTAAATTATTTCTTGACCCGTAGAAACAATCGCTTTATTAAGCAATATCTAGAGGATGAAATTGCATTGGCAAAGGATATCTTCTGGGCGGAGAAACAAAGACGTTATAACGAGGCAAGCGACAAAGCGATTAAAATAGCAAAGAAGAAAAGTGAGTTGTTTTCATTAGTCACATATTTTTTAACACATTTAAGTCAAACATTTTTTATGCTGCTGTTGGACAGAGCATTGATAACAGCTATCAGTAGGCTATCATGGCTATCATGGTTTCATTATGTATCATTATAAATGACGAATAATGCATAATAGCACATAATGCCACTATGTTTGTGATAAAAGCAGCTTTGTGTTGCTCGCAGCTTCTTGTTTTGTATTTAATAT